CTATTATTAAAAATGGAAAGCTCTTTTATACAGGTATACTTCTGACCTCTGCTCTTCTCTGTTTGGAACAAAACCTGTAGAAGCATGCCCAAGAATAGAAGTGGCATCACTCAGCTCCCAGTTCTATACTTTAAGCACTAGATGATGCTTCCTGTGAGTATATAAAATTTCATTTAATGCAAAACTCTGTTTGCTTCCTCTTATGATATGTTAATACTACTTTTTACATCCTGCCTCCCTTGTCCTCCTGGGCTTAACAGATTTTCAAGAGCCATTACAACAGTGGAGGAAGGTTTATGTCCTCCAGCTTGCATGTGAAAGGTTCCCTTCAAACAGCTGGAGATAGTTATTAAACCACAGTCAGCCCTGTTTGAACAACGGACTCCACGGCTGTCTGTGAGCAAAACTTCTGAAAAGACAGCTGTTTAAGAAACAAGCAGAAACCTTTTAAGTATTTTACTACCAACCAAGCATTTGTATTTACCCAAGAGTTCAGCACCTTCAATACATGATGAAATGTCCAGAAGTCCTTTCTTGCAGCCACAAGTATAAATTGGAGTGTGTGCCACTTAAACTGAGGGCACTATATTTGTATAAAATAATGTAAAGCCTGAGTCAACCACAGCCAATCATCATGACACCAAAATAAAGACAACACTGTGCTTCTGTAGATGAAGTTACCAGGTAGGTGGATAAAGAGTTATTGTCAGTATATTGTGCTCTGCCAACAAACGAAGACTACCAAGAAATTAAGAAATAAGCAGAAGTGAAAAAAGGGTCAGTAAAAGAGAATATATTGCACATCTATCCATTGCAAAAGTTTCAATAGTAAAACTACAACTTATCTGTGACCATAACTTATTTCTGACTATAGGCCACGAAGTTGTTTTCTGAGAGCAGATGGAAGGTAAAAGAAATGTGATACTTTTTATAAAAGCTTGGTTCTATTTAAAAAAAATCTTGTCAACCAGAAATGGGGAGGAATGTCTGACTAAGAGCAATCATAACAAGTCATTATCTTCTGACATTATCATTGAAAAATCAAGGCATCACAATGTATTTGACCAGCAGTATGATCATATGTTCATGTCATTTTGATCAGGAATAACATTAACCTGCTAAGCTCCAAATTTGCACAGCACTTTACTATCCAGCTTGTCACTGACTTGGCAAACAGTCACAGTGAATTAAGTACTTGTGCACTGAGAGATGGTCAAAATGGAAATTTCTGCTCTGCAGGAAATCATGACCCTCCAGAATCTGATTATGCTCTAAATCAGAAAGAATGTTACTACTTTAGAATTTCCCACTAAACAAAGATCTTGAAGAGATTCATGAATCTAAAACAAGAGCATTTTGATAATAACAAAACGATTTATTTTTATATGACTGAATGTGTTTAATTTGACGTAGTAAGCTTTACATCAATTGTATCTAAATGCTATCTAAACCACTTTAGACTACATTTCATGTCACCATAGCAATACATTTAACATTAATATATAATATAGAAGTCAGGACAAGACAAAGAAGAAAACCAGAAGATTTTACAAAACTGAAATAATTATTTCTGACAGTTCTCCATGGATATCTGCACGATGTTGTTATAAGATGTTAAAATACTGACTACCCTTCATTCACTGGTAAAAAATAAAACAACTCTCCTTTTCCCTGCCCCAGAACTATTCCATTGAAAAAGAAGATTAGCCTCACTGACATGAGTGGGAGTTTTGACACTGACATCAACGCAGCCAGATCTTTATTCAGTGATTTCAGAAAGACTACTTGTGTACTTGAATACATGCAAACATAAGCCCTGTACTGAGCTGGAACCTTAACAACAAAACTTCAGAGAAAGTGACCTAGTCTACTCTCAGCTGAGACCATAGAGCAAGACTCTTAAACATAGTGCATAGGCTCTCAAACAAGCAAGAGCATTGCCTAGACAGATTCTGTAACCATTTTTCAAGAATTTACATCATCTGGAACAACAGCAAAAATAGATTATTTCAAAATCTGTATGACCAGTCCACCAATTTTAAAGTATCTTCAACCACAGGAAAATAGCGACACACTATATTTAGTACACACTTATAAAAAAATCATTACTGTTATTGCATTATTAAATCCGGACATTTATAAATAAGGTATTGATTTCTGACATTAAGGAGATACTGTTCTCAACAGTTAACCATATAGGAACATACACAAAAGGAGAATTCACCAAATGTAGGCAAATGTGCCTTAGGCACCACCTATTATGTGCACATCTGCCCACAGGGCAGATTGCCATCACCTAGCACTATCAAGAGGCTCTATGGATTTCTCAGGAAACAAGTACAAACACTCCCAACTAATCATGGTGCTCCATATATGTTTCTTTGACAGTAAGACACTGACTTCCATGTCCGAGAGATAATTATTCCTTTTTGTAGATTCTCTTCTTAAGACCTGCCTAATCCCTTGATCATGTGCTTTTTGACAGATTTGAAAAGCATCCTCGGGCCCTTTTGTCATGGAACATTAAGACCTACATTGCCCATTTAGGGGCTGCTTTGGCCATCTAGGATGCCAACACTCTTCTGATTGTACCTTAGAGACTAAAATTCTTTTGGATGTCCATTGGCCTGGAAGCATGCCCACTAGCATGAAACTAAAAATCCTTACATCATCTAAGCCCAATGTTGATGGCTTGGCTTATCCCCACTGCTGCAAACGATGCAATTATTTCCATCTACCTACAGAATCAACAGCCAGTGCAAAATAAAAGGCATCTTCATTTTAAACAATAGAGAAGTATATTTAAGAGAAAGTAAGAAACAATATGTCAAGCACGAATCATGCAATGCAAATGGCTGCAAAATGCCATTGAAAATTTCAGAATAATCACTTTAAAGCTTTGTTTTCTTGAAATGAATGTTTATTTTTGATACATTAACTTGGTATCTTTGGTATCAGTAGGTGGAATGTATGCTCTAATCTAAACTGCACATGAGTATCAACCGGAACTTTGCAACTACTTTCATCCAAACAGATGACTGTATTTAATACTGCAGTATAACCTTTCTTAGCCTCCAAAATAAATTTGCAAAGGGAGTGGAATACTCAGAGGATAAATAATGTGATAGGGAGTATTTTTACCTTGATGTCATTATTTAAAGCTGACTAAATTAAATTTGTTTGCTAAGTAACCTGGGGCACCAAATGAAATTGGAGCCCTACTCCTAGGCACAGAAACATGCTAGGAAACAAAGCCCTGTCATGAAGCAGACTATCCAAGAAGCCAGGGTGTAAGAAAGGAAGCTCTGTAAACCCTAGTATGACTGGCCCAAGTGCAACTTACCTATTGTACAAGAGCAAATACATAACAGGGATGGAAACTGAGCAGGGATCTCCCAAGTGCCAAGGTCTGAAGCACAAGGCCCATCCATGACTACAGAACCTCCACTGACCCGACTGGATCTATACTTGAACTGTGTCAGCCAGCTACAAGACAAAACAGTGACGGAGAGCAAGTAAGCACCTACTGAAATGTTAGTCTGAGGACCAAATGTCTGCATTGACAGATGTGTTGTATCATTTTGACAGTGCAATTCCACTGACATTCTCTCATCACTATTCAAGGATTGCTGAATATTGTTAGTGAATTTGCCACATTTTAAAAACGCAAAGAAAGATTAAATACTTTGATCTGTTAGTGTTGTACAGATTTTATGTTTATTATTTATCTCCATAGAGAGCAAAAGCAAATAACAGTGATAAGAATTAATGGCCTCATAGCACATGCAAAAGTTTCACTAGAAACTTGTGGATTATGGCCAGAAGTCAACTGCAAGGATGATTCCAGGCCAACTAAAATTTAGTAAACATTCAGCATCTGTGCTTTCCTTTTGGTTTTTGTTAAGCTAGAACGAAAGGGTTAAGCACATCATTCTGTACCCCTTTTCCTTTTCTCCTTTCTGTTTTTCTTTTTTTAAAAAGAAGAGTCTCCCTAGAGGTCTCCCAAGGTCTGAATCTACCGCCACATTTAATCACTTTTGGTGTCTTCCCTTCTTCTTTGCAGCAATTTTGCCTGAGCACTCCTGAGACTGGTGTAGCATTACAGATTCATCAATGATTTGCTGCTTACTCTACATTATCCCACAAGTGCTGAGGCAAACAGTTCTTTGCCAGGATCAAACGATGTTCTATATTCGCCTGCAGTTTAAAATCTTGTTAATGTTGACACTTCTGATGAAAGCTCCACGGTGATCCTGGAATGAGTGAAAGCTGCAGGCTTTGGTGACTGCCAAATAAACAGGTACTCAGGGCACAAAGTTTTTTCAACGTCCTCTATAGGGGCATCATCAACTTAGGCATCATCTTTACCAGAAACAATGTCAAATAAGACACCTAACACACCCTGTCTGTGGGTGATGTTGCTGACGGGTAGCAGGGTGATTGTGTGGCTAAGCCAGTGTGTCCAAGAAAGAACTTTGCTCTGAAGTCAATTAACTTTAATGGAAAGACTCCAAATTACTTTGATGATCTTTGGACCAAGCTCAGTAAGAACTAATTAGGTCTCCATTCTAAAGGCTAGTTGTCAGAATTATTCATGGATTTTTGTTTGTTTGTTTTTAATACTGGATGACAGGCTCTTTTTTAATTATTCAGAGGGACTGACATCACTTTGAAAGTCGAAAGTTGCAAATACGGATGCCAATATTTAAAAAAAAAATAATTGCAAACAATAAGACAGGTAGAGAAATCTTACATACCGTACAAATGTGATCCACTTAATGGGGACAAAGGAAATACAAACTACAGTTAGTGACACCTGTAATCTAGTTCTGTGGTATTTGCTGTACTTCACAGCCTTACATGTGTTCAACATGGGTACAACTAGGTTTACTGACTGTAGCTTCCAGTTCTACCAACAAAATCAAGGACCAGAACTCGCCTCACTCCTTCTTCTTAAAACTCCTGACACAGAAGGAAGATTTTATGTCTGAAAAACTTACCACAGGAGAGAAGATACTTGAAGAAAGATGATAATACAGGTTCCTCACGTGGGAGCGATACCACAGCAAACGGCTGAGCAGTCTCAGCACTTTGTAAGATTTATTTATTCTGACAGTAGATCATCACCTGCAAATCAAATTAAGAAATGTTCAAAATCTGAAAGTCACAAATTAGGCCAGGATGATCTGTATGATGCCATTTATCTGGTGATTTTCACCCTATTTTTTTTCCTTATAAATTGTCCCAGTAGGCCATGCATTTTTTTTCCCTGGACTTTCTCTATTACTAAAAATAATTGCTAAATCATTTCTACATCATGGTCAGCACCTTAGTGCTTTTTTAAATGAAGTTTTCCTTGAAACTGCAGGAAATACTTAAAGTTCAAAGTATAATAAATATAATATGCTCAAATTATATTTATAGCATACAAGACAGGAAACAGAGATGTAATTTGTCCCTATGAACTGGTCAGACAGCAAAATTATTTAATTTTTAGTGTAGTCTTTAAAAAACCTAAAATCTGCCTTTGGATACTAGAGTCCAATTCTCTCTGATGCTAACAAAATGACACGCCATATTCTGGCAAAATGTGGACCTGCACCTTTGCTGATGAGCTCTGAAAACCTAGTTACAGGAGAGGAGGGTCTGTCTTTGTGAGATAATGGAAGGGATGAGAGGAAAGACATAGCTAACATCCTTGCATGGTGCATACAAAGCTCTTCCTGTGGGCAAGGATTGTCCCTCCTTTCTCCCTGATAGGAACTAATCCCCCTGAAATACAAGGGAGGAAAAGAGGGTAGTTGCTCTCCTCTCTTCCACCCCCCTTGTACTCACCAAAGGGAAAAGCTCAAGTGAATTCTCGCACAGAGGTTTTCAAAAGGCTGGTCGCATTCGACCCTTTGCCAGAGGCCATGTCAGCTGAAACATGCATCTGCTCCATGACCCCTTCAAATCTATGCACACTTATGCAAATCTGTGCACACTGCTCTGTGTGTGGACATGAACCTCTGGCAAACACATTTCATCTAAGTGCTGGTCTGCAGAGCTGACTTGTAGTGAACAGCTTATTGCAGAACTATAGGTTAACTGCAGAGTTGTGGTGTACCCTGTACAAATCCAAGCTTCAGAAGCAGTGACACTGTTAACTTGAGCTAAAACTAATGAAGAAGTAGGCAAACAGCCTTTTTGAAACCCAGTTTCTCAGCAGTCTTGTAGATGCACTGAATAACAGTTACTCAGCTTTCTAACTAATAGACAGACTATATAAAAGATTTTGGGTTAATAAAAATTGGAAGAGCTCACATGCACTAAATACCTGTGCCAACCCTAGCCTAAAGGCTAAATTATGATGACCTTTGCAACTTGTGCTAAAAATAAAAAAGAACTGGCAGTAATTTATGCTCAGTCAATCAGAATGATCTATAATGTGGAAGTTTTTAACAAGGTGCCGGCCAACAGTTTTGATCTGTTTTAAAACAAGCCATCCTGGTCAGTCCTATAGAGGCTAATGCTTCTAGCTTAATGACTCTCCAAAGGGGAGGAGGCATAAGAGATTTAGTGACTCAGTAGAGATGACTGCACAGACCTCTGCAGCCAGCTTGGAAATGACAAAGTATTTGTTAATAGAGAAGCTTTATTTTTGTATTATTTTTTGCCGATGAAGTGAAAACGGAGCATTGATTAAGCAATCCAAGCTGAGAATGTTCTAGCCAAATTGGAAAGCTTTCAGACTGGCAGCTAGTTTCAAGGCTTTGAAATACAACTTGTGCTTGTTATTCCATGCTTAAAGATACCTATCCTAGAGTCTCAGACAGTAATAGATGTCAAGCTGACACTGTAGTTCACAGATGAATTTCAGTTGTGTGGGCCATGCCACATGCACACCACTTGTGCTTCCTGTCTCAAATGCTTAAAACTGAAAGGATTAACAGGGCCACCAGCAAAAAGTTCTCTGTACAAGTAGAGCACAACTGAAAAATACCCACAGCCCAACATGCTCTTAACTCACCATTACCCTTCTCTTCTGCCTATCAGTTTAAGTCATTTGTATATAAATTCAGACTGAGCCTTTCATTTCACGCGCATCATGAAGTTTCTGCACAGCTCAAATTCTAAGCTCATTTCCTGTGAACTAACGTTACTGGAGTCACCATACCTATTCAACAGTAAATGAGAACTAGGTGTCTAGAGATAATTAAAAATATTTGTGGGGCTTTTTTTCCCTTTTCAGAGAAGAATTCAATTTTCCAGGGGAGCTTTAAATACAAGCTTTTGGCCCTCACATATATTAAATTTTGAGTGACTCATATTCTCATTCCCTCGTGTAGCTATGTTATTACACTGTATTTCCCTCAATTCATCAGAGAATAGCTTATGTCCATAGCCGTAAAGCAGAGATAGCAGCATGTCACAGAAGATTAGGTCCAGACAGGGAAACAGGCCCCGAAGTAGAACAGGAGTAAAAAGCATCTAAACTGTAATACTCAGAAGGTATTATGGAACCTTTTTGGAATTAAAAATAATCTGATTTTGTGGTTGAATATTTGGCTTTTTAGATGGGCTTTGTTTTTTACTGAAATAAACCTGCAAAAAGAACATGCCTTTCACTACAAATCTCCTAATGCACAAATATGAAACTGCTGTAATGAAAAAGTTTCACCTTAATCAGGTCAGTCTGTTTGGACAGACTGCTGAGTAAATACCTATGCCACATTATTTATATTGCAGCTTTTTCTCCAGAGCTAAGAAAAATCAACATAGATATATAAGCTAGGTCAAAAATAGCTATTATTTTTAACAAATAAGCATTAAAAGAAATTATGTGTTTTCCCACCTAGCAATCTACATTTCACACATCTGAAAATTAAACCAGTTATTTTTGCCTCTTTGGTTTTAAATCAACACCCATCACTACAACAGGCTGCTAACAGAGGGAGTGTCCTTAATGTTAGTAGAATTACTTTCCTGGGAAGTTCACAGAGGAGTAAAAATACTAAGGCTAAGATCCTGTTTTCTGAAAAACTTGCTCAGAAAGTCAACACATATAGTGGTAGGGGCAGCTTTTTATTACCATGATTTATTTTTCTGATTTAACCTATTCCATCCACATCCTTGATGGAAAAGTTTCTAATTGTTTGGACACCAACTTCTTCCCTAAAAATACTCAAAACCCAACAATCAGAAAAAAAGAGAACAAGATTTGTGTTGGCTGTTTTAGAACAGAGACCGGGGAAAGAACATTACCAGTGGTATAATTATTTAGATTTTTTTGTTGTTGTTGAGAAGAATTACTGAGCAAAAGATTTGTTGGGCGAGTGATTTGTTGGGTGAGTAACTGCAACACTCGTGCCAGCAGAAACCCTCTTGTAGTGCTCTTCACAACACTGTGCTGGTACCTGACAATTCTGTAGGTATTCATAGCCTGAGTACCTTCTTGATCAGAATTTCTTTGAAATTCCTTAATACACCATTATGTGAGCACTTCTATGAGATTTGTTGATGTTCTTTTGGTAAATATAATACGTAGCTTCGCTGCCAGAGACAGAAATAATAGCTTTGTACATACATTAATTTTACACTCTTCAAAACAAAATTTGGTTCCCTTTTCTTTCCTATGACCCAGGATCCTGCCTTGCTGTGAAGCTGACACAGCATTAAGTACTGAATCACATCCGGATTCCTCACTGATCACCCCTGAATCTTTCTGACTACCCAGGAGTGACATTCCAGGTAAGTTTTATTGGTCAAACTTAGATTCACTGAGATGCTGCTGAAATAAATGGATGTATTTATACGTGAGAGACCTGAACGGTTGTTTGTTTGTTTTTTTTTTTTTTGCAATTCCACAGCAAAAAAACCTCACAACACTATTCAAAATAGCTGTGTCCATTAGGTTTAAAAAACCCCAACATTCTTTTTTCATGACCTCATTACTTTAAAAGTATTTCATAATTTATTTGTAGTAGAAGAAGGATTTGTAAGTAGAAACCACAAGAGAGTCGTAATTCAGGTCACATTTGTGCAGCTCACCAGCTAATCTGAAAATCTAAATATACAAGAGACTCCCTAATATCTTCTCAGAATTGTGTGTCATATTACTTATGAATAGGCTCAATCTAAAAGGAAGCTTTTTATGTACCAAAAAAAATTTCTACATTGTCATTTACTGCTTTTCTCAGTCATTTCATGCTATTGTTCAAAATTTGTAAATTAACAGCCAGATCAGGTTTTGAACCATCCGCTGCCCTCTCCTTGTTACAGATTAAATGGCTAATACATACTCCACTACCAGATTGGCTAAACTGTTGGAACAAGCCCAGAGGAGGGACATGAGGCTGATCAGGGAACTGAAGCACCTCCCGTATGAAGACAGGCTGAGAAAGTTGGGGCTGTTCAGCCTGGAGAAGAGAAGGCTGCATAGAGACCTCATAGCAGTCTTCCAGTATCTGAAGGGGGCCTACACGGATGCTGGGGGTGGACTCTTCATTAGGGACTGTAGTGACAGGACAAGGGGTAATGGGTTAAAACTTAAACAGGGGAAGTTTAGATTGGATATAAGGAAGAAATTCTTTACTGTGAGGGTGGTGAGGCACTGGAATAGGTTGCCCGAGGAAGTTGCGAATGCTCCATCCCTGGCGGTGTTCAAGGCCAGGTTGGACAGAGCCTTGGGTGGCATGGTTTAGTATGAGGTGTCCCTGCCCATGGCAGGGGGGTTGGAACTTAATATCTTAAGGTCTTTTCCAACCCTAACTATTCTATGTTTCTAAAAAAACACTATGTAGAGAGCATACTGTGCTTTCTCCTTCTACCAACTACTTTGTCATATAGTGACAGATTATTAAAATAAGTGAAACAGCAAGAAAACAAAATGAAATTTTGTCTCTTTTTATTCCCAATATCCTACTGATATTTCTTTTTACTAATGACTGTAGTGGGTGAAAATAGGAAAAATCTCCCTGCAACTGATAGGAAGAGAGTCATGCCCTAGAGGGTGACACTGGCTTATTTCCCACATTACACAGTGATCATAGAAAGATGATTTCTTCCTTTGGCCCAAATGTATTTTATGTACTTCAGCTGCAAGTTCTTTGGGGCAGTGTCTGCTACTGAATATGGTTTTTCAGTGT